GATGTTTCCTCGCTTGGTTTTAAAATGTTATATACTGTATTCCGTTTCGAAATGGTTTTGATTTATACTTATCTATATATGCTATTTAACGCGTGTTGGTGGGTTACCAGCAATATTCGCTGACCGGGTGTCATCCCAATGTTATGTTTTCCTTGTTCTACAGGTTTTGAGTAGATGCCCGAGTGCGCTAGACTTGGAGCGTTAGATAGCTTAGTCACCTTGTCTAGACGTTTTGTTGATGGCCTATGAGTCTTTTGAGCGGCCTGTGTGCCTTGACTCTTATTGACTTTTTTATACTGTTTAGTTTTCCCGCCTGTGCATCTTTAGTACTGTAAGATGTGGCATAATACCCCCGTTTAGACTTGCTTCCGCTTAATGTTTAATGGATGATTAGATTGCTTATCTCTTGCATTTAAGTTTTAAAAATATGGTAAAATCGAGGGTGTTACAATCTATAAGCCATGGATGGTGGATAGAAGATTTTTTTTTTGTTACGATAATCAGAATAAAAGCCAGTTACTTAGTTACAATGACCAAAATCAAAGTCAAGGACATTATGAGGTATTTTAAGTTGTTATTCTTTTTTTCTTTTTTTTTAAAAAAAAAAAAAAAAAAAAAAAAAGATGTCTTATTATTATTATAAACAAAACAAAAGTCTTGCCAATGCCCAAAAGTGACCAAGGCTACAAATGAAAGAAAATAAAGCAAGGTGGCCGAAAGGCGAACAAGTAGAAGAGATAAGCTCTAAACAACAAAGTGGGCCCAACACCCATACTGCAAACCACCTATAACCGTATGAAAGCTGGACAATTCCTGGGCGTCATGCCCTACACAAAAGGTGGGAACGATGCTCCAAAAGCCATGACGGACCAGTTCCACCCTCAAGCGTCAGGTCGGTCCCCCGCGGTACAGAGATCTGCATTTTTATCCGAGGGAACCTATGTGACCATCCACAGGAGCAATGAAACCGGCCGCCAACCCAAACCACCCTCATGCGTTGGACAGATCCCCTCCGGTACAGATCTCTGCATTTTTATCCGGGGGAACCGTGAATAGTCCTTCACATGAGCAATGGTGCTCACCTCCACCCACCCTTGGAACCCAAGCCACCCTCGTACGTACAGAGCTCTGCATTTTATCGCAGAGGGCTTCAACGGCCCAAAGTCCCAAGCGATGGCTCCCTAACCACTGGTGCAAACATATATGCCACCCTTAAGCGTCAGGCCAGCTCGCACGGTATAGCGTAATGCATTTTAACCCGGGGAGCCTGTATAGCCATCCACAAAAGCAATAGCATATATGCTAAGCATCAGAAGCCCACCTCACATCCTCCCAATCCCATTATAGAAACAACCAGCCATAATTCACCAAGCACCATATCAAGCAAATATATACAAGCAAGACTATAGGAGCACTCCCACCTCAGAGTGTACGCTATGCATGAAACACAAGAATCAAATCCCGCAAATCACACAGCTACACGTAGAAGCAGAACAGGAAAAGAGAACACAAAGCAGAAAAAGAAACCCCCAATACTAGAAGCCCCTTACGCCCCAAGCTAACTAAGCCAGATACTCAAATAGCCCAGCATACAAGAAGAGAAAAACTAGTCACAAAAAAATAAAATAAAATAAAATAAAATAAAACTAAAGTAAGAAGCAAGCAAGCACCGCCCTCAAGGCGAATCCGCAAAGTCGGAGAAAACGTAGGACACGTCATCATGGATAAGGAGAGCGCACATCCTAGGTGGTAAGGCAGCAAGTGTAGCAAATGTAGTCTCCCCAGGTTTATCGAGGACCCAATCTGCAAGAGCCTGAGTCGGGAGATCCGCCTGGGAAGAGCATAACATGAAAGTGATAGAGCCGCAGGAACAGAGGAAACGCATCCGAGAGACCACGTCATCCATATACCAAAGCGTGGTGGATGCATCATCAAAGTAAGCCTCCAAATCACGGATAGAGGTCTCCACCACAAGAACCTGATGACCTCCGTCCAGGCACCAAGTCAGACAAGATAAGAGAATCCGGAAAAGACCTCGGATAGACTCCTCCAGCCTAGACCAGGTGACTCCGTAGCAAAGCCCGCCACCCTGGTTGCGGACCAAGGCAGCCGCCCCCCCTTCTGAAGCCGAAAGAGCAAGATTAATCTTGAGAGAACCAGAAGAAGGGGGGACCAACGAACAACACGGACCACTCGGCGAGGCACATGTGCCTCCAGGTAAGACACGATCATCCGCCAATTAGGCAGGAGGATATGCTGACCCGGCTACCGCCTAAACAGGCACTCAACCACGCCCCGAGCTACCCCAAACATAACTCGTGCAACACTTGGGGTATCCCGACCGTGTAAGCACCCATTGCGGTGTTTCCATAGCTCCCAAAGCACCAGATATGGCAGCCTGCAAAGAACAAAAGAACGTAGAGGGGTATGCGTACCACTCCGCCCCCAGCTAGCGATCAAAGTCCGTAGACTCCTATGTAGTGACTGGAGGCCAAGGGACGCAAACACATGATGCCATACAGCGCGTGTTGTATCTCCTGAGTAAAAAATATGGGCAATGGAATCAAAAGCAGGAGCCGGACAATACCAACACCTCGAAATGACCACATGGCCGAAACGAGATAGGACGTCGTCCGTAGGCAAGCGACCCCGGAACACTCTCCAAGCCAAGAAGGACACCTTGAAAGGGAAGTGCTTATGCCAACACTTAGCAAGGAAGGGATCCAGGTCAACAAGCCTAGCAGGTCGCAAAAAGGACTTCGTCGTAGCGAAAGAAAACATACCATCAGATGCCGGGCGCCAAATAGGAATATCTCGCGGTCCCTGCCCGAGACGGGACAAGTCCGCCTGTAACCTGGCCAGAGCCAAGTCAGCATGATCAAATAAGTCCAGGGCACCATCAGTAACGTAATCCAGAAGCGGCTCACGAGAGTAGGAGACCCCCGGGAAAGGATAAAGTCTGCCAAGCGGACCGAGACCCGACCAGTTGTCCCACATGAAATTAACCCGGCCATGGAACAACCGCCAGCCTATAGCACGCTCAGCCTCATCACGAACAGCCAACATCTGCTTCCAGGTATGAGAGTCAGAAGTCTGGACAAGTTTTGCAACCGGGTGAACCCGACTACAATACTTTGCCCGCATAAAGTCTGTCCATAGCGTATACTCAGTGCGAAAAGTACACCACAGCTTCGCACTAGCAGCACACACCATCAGGTCCAAATCCAAGAAACCAACCCCGCCCTCCTTTTTGGGGAGAGCGAGATTCTTCCCTACGAACTCCAGTGATACTGGGACCCACTAGACTGTCTCTAGAAGAAACTAGCAAAACATCGCTCAAGGTCCCGGATCACCTGCTTGGGCGGGGCCAAGCGGCAAAAAGATGCAAAGGTATCGCCTGAAGCACAAATCTAATCAGAGTGGCTTTCCCGCCTTTTGACAGGACTCGCCGTTCCCAACTCAAGCACTTGGCCTTCACCTTATCAACTGTAGGGCTAAAGTAGATGCACTTCTTCCGCCCCACGTACACAGGGCAACCAAGATATGTAAAGGGGAAGGAACAGTGGATACAACGGGTCGCCCTGCGTACGCGTTGTAGCACTCTATCAGGAGTACAAGGATGCATATAGAAAGCACTCTTCTGTAAACTGACCAACTGTCCTGAGATAGACTCATACTCCTTGAGGGCCGAAATAACAGTATTAATGGCACCCTGTCTGGCTGTACTGAATATAATGATATCATCTGCATATGCCAAGTGGTGGATGTGTGGGGTGCCAGGTGGCTGAGTGAAACGGGGGACTGCAGGATCCTCGTAAACATGGGCCAAGTAAACTGAAAGAACCTCAGCCGCAATGATGAACAAACTAAGCGATAAAGGATCGCCCTGTCGCAGTCCCCGAGTCGATGTAAAGAAACCCTCTTTTATGCCATTAACAATCACCGACTACCAAACATTGGACACTGGCCGGAAGACCAAATCAATCCAGATCTCTGAAAAACCGAGGCGGCGCATCACCGAGGTCAAGAAAATCCAAGAAACGTGATCGTATGCTTTAGCCATGTCTAACTTAAGCACAACATCACGCTTCTGAACCTGTAATCCGTGGCACATTTCTGATGCAAGAAGGATGTTATCAGTAATCAATCTGTCGGCCACAAAACCACTCTGATGCGGTGACAGAAGTCGGGGAAAAACCGTACCCAATCTAACCACCATCAGCTTGGTGACTATTTTGCTGCTGAAATTACACAAGCTGATCGGCCTATAATCTGCACAAGTTTCAGGGTTCGGCTTCTTCGGAAGCAAGACGATGGATGTATGTGTGATAGCCCTGGTGAACTCTCTGTCCGAAAAATAACTCTGTACCATCAGTACCACGTCAGCACCAACAATATCCCAACAACCCTTGTAAAAGACCCCGAGAAACTGCCTGGACCGGCGGCACTAACTGAACTCATCTGAAACACAACAACCTTGATCTCTTCTTCCTCTGGTACCACAGTCAGCAAATCATTGTCGGCCTCAGTAACCAACTGCGGAATACAATCAAGTAAAGCAGTATCAAAGCCCCCAATCTCGGCAGTAAACATGCGCTCAAAGAAAGATACTGCCTGAGCGGCAATACCTTCCCTATCCTCAATCCACTGGCCCGTATCATCTCTAACTCTGTGTATGAAGAGTTTCTGCCTGCGCTCTTTGACAAGAGAGTGAAAGTAATGAGAGTTCCTCTCACCCTTTTGTACCTCGGTGATGCGCGGCTTCTGTTGCCAAAACTCCTCCTCAATCATGACTTGCTTTTGTAAAAGAGCAACCCCTTCCTTATATTCCAATAAAACGTGATCATCATCAGGGTGTTGCTGGAGGGCACTCTCAAGGGTTTGTACTCGGTCCTCATATTCTTTCAAGCGGGCAAAAATGTTTCCAAATACCTCTTTCCTCTAAACACTGAGGGTTTTAGCAAGTCTGTTCAATTTAGTGGCCAGGACATACATAGGAGCTAGAGCTGTCAAAACGGGCCCAACCCGTCGGGTTGGGCCCGTTTAACCCGTTTTTACGACGGGTTGGGTCATGCAATTTTAAACCCGGCCCGGAAGGGGCCCGGCCCATGTAACCCGGCTGTTACACGGGTCCAAACGGGCCAACCCGTGGGTTACACGGGTTGGCCCGTTTAGCCATTATTAATTTTTTTTTTTTTAATATATTTTAGTTTAAGTGTAAAATATTTGTTTATGGCAAAACTTGAACCTATAACCTCTCAATTTAATTCACTTCTACTACAAACATCTAACCGATTAAACTAATTATACTTATTGTTCATATGTTGTATGGTTATATATTTAATTATATTTAATTATTTATATAAATAATCGGCTTTACTAGAAAGCATGTTTCAACTGTAGTACGTAGAATATAATTTTGTTCAAGAATGTATATTTTTTTTTGAATGTATATAATGAAATTATGATGCTAGAAATTCATTTACACAACAAAAGTCATAACTTTAAATAGTTAAGCGAGCTGAGGTTCATTACTGATTTACGGTATAAAATAAAACAAGTATCAATATAGATATCCTTGGTACATAAACATATATTGCTCAACTATTTAGACATATACCACAGCTATACCGGCTGTACGCCTGTACATGAGTAGTTGTACGGAGACTCAATTGTAAATTATTTATATAAATATATAACCATACAACATATGAACATGTATTATATGTTTTCCTAATTACATACATTATGTTTCATAATTATATATTATATATTTGTATAATTCATGAATCATTTTATTGGTTGACATTTAATGAACTAGCATTATATATATATATATATATATATATATATATATATATATATATATATATATATATATATATATATAACGGATAAATAATTATAAACTCAATTATATATAGTTAAATTAATCATATTATGTTTACAAGCTTTATTTATATGATTAATTATAATTTTATGTAAATATTAATATAATTATATAGTTAACATAAAGTGTATTTATTTTATATATTTTATAAACTCTATAAGTTAATTATAGTTACACGTGGGTATATGTGACTATGTGTACTTTTCATATATATTTATTTATATTTATACATAATTTTATTTCAAAAGTTATAGGTTGTTCAAGTGGAATAAAGCTTGATTATTTACATGAGAGGTCAAAGGTTCAATTCTTATCATACACAAATATTTATAACAATTAAAAAATTAATTTTAAAAAAAAATAAACGGGCTGGCGGGCTGGCCCGTTTAGCCCGCCAGCCCGTCGTATACGGGTTGGGCCAAGTTTCCCAACCCGTATTGGAAAACGGGTCGGGACGGGCCCGTTTTCTGACAACTCGTGACGGGCCAGCCCATATGGGCCGGGCTGGCCCGTTTTGACAGCTCTAATAGGAGCACCAGAAACCGGGGCTAACCAGCTATCACGCACCACCCGCTGAAAATCGCCATGCTTTACCCACACATTCAGAAAAACGAAATGCTTCGAAACCACCTGTGCACTCAATAAATCACAAGAGATCAGCAGGGGACTGTGGTCGGACGTGGCTTTTGACAAATGCCGAACAGATGTTTTGAAAATCGATTCCCATACCTAAGTATAAAGACACCGATCCAAGCGCATCCAGATGGCCGCCTCCTTACGCCTCCCATTCTACCAGGTGAAACAGGAGCCATAAAAAGTCGTGTCAATCAAGTCACACGTACTAACACAGTCCCAGAAAGGCGTGGTCCGCCGATGAGGATACGGCAAACCACCCTTTTTCTCATCCACGCTAAGTAAACAATTAAAATCCCCCGCAACAGACCAAGGAACACCTCCAGGAAGCCTAGTCGAAATAGACTGCAACTCATCCCATAAAGGTACCCGATGGCGTTCTTTGGTCTTAGCATAAACAAAGGAAATCCAAAAGGGGGACGGCACAATAGAGAGGGCGCAAGCCACTGAGATACACTGATCAGACTGGCCCTCTGTTGGTCCCAAAGGGGGTGTGGTAAAAGTCTAGAGGGGGGTGAATAGACTTTTAACCTTTTTCGCGAATGCAACAATTGCTAAGGCAACAGAGATATCAAAACTCTTAACTAGATCGTTAGAGTCTTATACGCAGCGGAATAAATAAATACGAGTTGTGTGATTGTGTCAAGTATATCAACGTGATAAGCAGTAAATGACACAAGGCAATTTATAGTGGTTCGGAGGTGATGTAATCCTCCTACTCCACTTGCTCTTATCGTCCAAGAGCAATTCACTATATCCACCACTTCTTGGTTCCTAGATACAATGAATTTCCGTGATCTAGTGCTTTGATCACTAAGCCCACACTAATCACGCCCAGTGCCTCCAACACTGCTGCTTCGGATTTCACAGCTCCGTGCTACTTTCCAGGATTTCACAGCTCCGTGCTACTTTCCCCCCGTCTTCCACGATCCAGTCGACGTATCCCGTGATCTGGTGCTTTGATCACCAAGCCCACACCAATCACGCCCAGTGTTCTCCAACACTGCTGTTTCGGATCTCACAGCTCCGTGTGACAATCCAGAATTTCACAACTCCGTGCTACTTTCCCCCCGTCTTCGACGTATCCCGTGATCTAGTGCTTTGATCACAAAGCCCGCACTAATCACGTCCAGTGTTCTCCAACACTGCTACTTCACTTGTTTGTAGAAAAACAAGTTTCACTGGCTTCCAACTTTGAGACTTCTTGAATGGATCTTCAATATGCAGCAAGTCTCTCAATGATGAAGAATTAAACACTCTTGAAGATTTTCTCTTTGAGCTCTCTGAGTGTTTTTCTCACTTGAATATATTCTCACTTGTAAGCTTTTTCAAGCAGACTGGATTCGTGTATTCTTCTTGTTCGAAGTATTGGAAGTGCTTTGATCTGCTTCATTCTTCATCCTTTTATAGCTGGTTTTGAGAAGTTGTCCGTTGGAAAAAGACAATCTCAAATTTGAATTGTAGATCTCAAATTTGAATTCCAAATCTCAGATTTGAATTCTTGTAGACTTTTGCAGAGGATCTGTAGCTTTCTCAGAAGATCATATTAAAAATGATATCTCTGATGTTTTTGGCCGTTGTCTAGCATGTGGTCCATGTGAAGAGACTTAAAATATTTCTGATGTAGATCTGTCTTCATGTGAAGGGCTCTTAAAATAATTATGATGTAGATCATGCGCCTTCTGGGACTTTCATCTTCTGTGTATTTTATTCTCTCTTGTAGGGCTACTGATGAAGTGTTTTGGCAATGAGATCTCTTGATCTGGGTCTCATTTTGATGGTGAGAATTCAATCCTTGATTGAAACTTAATCTCCAACTTCAGCTCTTACTATATATAGCTTTGGAACTTCATCTCCAACTTCAGCTCTTACTATATGTGGCGGTCGTCAGTAAATGTTTCTGCGCAAAACAAAAACCATTCTGAGCACGTTTTCGCAAAAACAAAAAAGGCCAAATACAAGGTGAAGGATGAAAAATCTCCCCGAGGCCGGTGTGGTTGAGTTCTGCTCCCACGCTCGAAGGCCACGCGTGGTGAAGGATGGCTTCTAAACATTTTTATAGAAGGTTATTTCTACAAGGATATTTGAATCTTGAAAATATGGTAATTTGCACTTGTCATTCCAGAGCATATTTTCAGAATGGGCGAGCATATTCCAAGCACGTAAAGTGCATATTCCAAGCACGTTAAGTGCATATTCCAAGCACGTTAAGTGTAGTTTTGAAGCATATAGCTTCAAAATGCCCCAAAACCTTACGCATGAAAATATCCAAACATGCATTAATACTCTCAAGCATATTAGCTATAACTCTCAAGCATATTAGCTATATATCACAAGCATATAGCTATATACTCTCAAGCATATTAACTATATACATTTCTCTCAATTTCCTCTTGAAAATCCATTTACAGCCTATGGGTTTACAACCCTTGGGTAAATCCACTATTTCCCACGTATGATTAGACTGTATGGAATCGGCCCTAAGTACAATCTAAATGGCTGTTCTGAGTACCGACTGACTGCGGTCGGGATTCTCTAACAACAACTTATCGATCGTCCAAAAGTCCCCCAAACTATTGCTATCGCGGGTATTTATAGCCGTGGAGCCGGAGACACAAGTCCGGCCGTCCGGCATGTCGCCCACGTAGCAACCACGTGTCGCCCTCCCGGGTGCCCTGCCTGGAATCTGAACCCAACATGATTAGGAAAGAGAAAATGAGAGGAAATAAAAAATGGAGAAAAAAAAACAAAACAGAAGCTGGATTTTTTAAAAACAAAAAATAGACAAGTGAGTAATTAACGCGCGCTGCTTGCACGCGCCAGGCTGGGCGCAGGTTGGTCTTCACCCGACATGCTCAACAAGATAATAAAGAGACACACGTTGGCAACACATGCCTTCGTGACATCACTCGTCACAAATAGAGAAACACACATCGGCAACACATGCCTTCGTGACATCACACATCACGAATTCAATAATCCTTCCTTATGCCCGGTTCCAACCTTATGGCTACCCCCAACTATATGTGGCTTTGGAACTTCTTCTCCAACTTCAGCTATACTTCATATTGACTTGACTTATGAAGACTTGACTTTGCAAACCGCATCTCTAACTTCATCTCCAATCTCTATCTCTAACTTCATCTCCAATCTCTATTATTTAATTGATTTCGAAACTGATCTTGAAACCTCTGCTCCAATTTAGTCTCGAATTTATCTCCAATCTCTATTATTTAATTGATTTCGAAACTGATCTTGAAACCTCTGCTCCAATTTAGTCTCGAATCCTCTTTTGGAACCTCAGCTCCAACCGCTGCTCTTACCTTGTCTGCTCCAATTTAGTCTCGCAGCTCCAACCGCTGCTCTTACCTTGTCTGCTCCAATTTAGTCTCGAATTCATCTCCAATCTCTCAATTTAGTCTCGAATTCATCTCCAATCTCTATTATTTAAATCCCTCAATTTAGTCTCGAATTCATCTCCAATCTCTATTATTTAATTGATTTCGAAACTGATCTTAATTTAGTCTCGAATTCATCTCCAATCTCT